GGAGACACCTTTCCGGTGTTTGCATTGTGCAGCCAGTTCATTGTCTCGACTCCAGGCTGGAGCCTCTGCAGCGGGCTGGAGCGGGCTGGGGGCAGGTCGAAAGTTGTGCGCAGTGGTGTTGGAGTAGGTCGCGCGGTGCTGCCGGGGCTGCCGACCCAACGAACCAGCCCTCAGGCCAGCCCTCCGACCAGGACCAATGCGGAGAGCGCTTCGGGACGGCGACACGACGGCGCCAGAGCCATCCTGGGCGGTCGCTGCCATCATCCGGTTTAGAGAGTCTAGTTTGGAGCATCTCGCAAGAAGGCCTTCGTGCGACTGGAGGGGCCGATGGAGGAACATCGCGGAGGTCGGTGCGTGCGCACGTTCGCCCCATGACGCACGCGCACTTCTTGGCGGGCGAGGGGGAAAGTCCACAACACACAAACGCTCGCGCGCGCGCACACACACTCACACATTTGCATGCCGTGCACCTGTGTGTCGCCGAACGGGGCGAAATTGGCGCGCGGGAAAAAAAAGAGAGTCAAAAAGACGAGAATGCGAGTTTCCGCGCCGCTTCGCCGCCTCGCCGCTTCCCTGCAGGGCCGCCCTGACCCGTCGCCGCCGCCCTAACCCCTTCCTCGTCGCGCCACCTCCAAAAATTGGCAAAGTTTTCCCGAGTGGGATTAGGTCCTTTAATGGCGCCGGCCCGGCCCACTGAGAGTCGCTTTCGTCGCTCTGTCTCTCTCGCACTCGCGGGGCGTGCCGTGTAGGCGCGAGAGAGACAGAGCGACGAAGGCTGCAGGCCCGGCCCGGGAAGAGAAGGGAGGTACCGATCCGACAAGGAGAAGCGCTGCCCTTTTAATTTGGCCGCCGTGAAAGTGAGGGGGGATTTGGATTTTTGTCCGGAGTGACGGCGCGCTGCGACGCGCTGCGATAGCCGGCCTCGACTAGGGGGCAAAGCGAAAGCCGGTTTTGATAAGGCACGACACTGGCGGCCCCCGAACGGGCGAAGCGGGGAGGGGCGGCCCAAACTTGAGGCAGTTGGATTAGGTCCTCGGTTGGCTTTGAGTGATATACACGGGCAAGCAGTTTCGATTAGTAGATATTAGAGGGGGCGGGGCCAAAAAATAAAATATGAATCGATACGGATGTTGATGTCGGAAACAAGGTCTTTCTTTACAACATTTTTATTCCTGCTGATGTTTTTTGTACATGCCGGTTTCCGAACGGCGCCGGGCGCACTGAACCCGGTCTGCACTTTAAACGTCGCGGCGGTGCCGAGGCGGTGCAGCGGCGCTTCCGGTCCCCGGGTGGGGGGACTTCCGGTGGTTGCCTCGCCTCAGGTGAGGCTGCGCACAGTCGCTGCTGTCGGTTTACTCTCGGTAATCCTCTTACCAGCCAGCAAAGCCCTGTGCCTGCAGTGATTGGAACACCACACACACGCGCGCCCACACACACAGACGTACGCGACTCGAGCAAACCGCAAACCCGACACGGGCGGCGAGATTATGGCTTTTGGATTGATAATAAGAGTCACCTCAGAGCGATTGACTTCCTCTCCGACGACGTGGAGTGAACGGAATGGCCCGCCGCGAGGCTTCCCGCTTCGCGTCTCTCGTTTTATCTCTGTTTTTCTCCACCGCCGTCAGACGCGACCGGACAGTTGGACGGAGCGGTTGTCGATACGGACACAGTGACAGGGCGGTCGGACCCTCTGCGCGATGGGGGCGGCCTGCTTTCGTATGCAAGAGGCGATGTCCGTCGGGCCGCCGGCCTTGAGGTAGTCTGGAGAAGCCTGGAGAAACCTGGAGAGGCCTGGAGCAGCCTGGAGCAGGCTAGAGCAGCCTGGAGAAGCCTGGATAAGCCTAGAGCAGCCTGGAAAGGCCTGGAAAGGCCTGGAGAAGCCTGGAGAGGCCTACTCATAGAGAGGCCTGAAGAAGCCTGGGGAGGCCTGGAGCAGCCTGGAAAGGCTTGGAGAAGCCTCCAGCTCGCCGAACAGGAATGTCGGCCATGCCTCCGCTCTTTAATTGGCCGCGCTTTTTAAATTCCTGTGATCCGGTCCGGCGGTCGGGCCCCGGCCTCGGTCTCGGCTCGCGGCCAGTGGAGTGGGCGAATCCCAACCCGACCCGTCCGTCCGCGTCCCTGCCCTGCCCGATCCCCAGGGACCCTTGCGAAATAATACGGGCCGTTTTCAGGGCGGGAAATTTGCCTGGAACGGGGATTTAATTAAGATGGGGAGAGCACCGCAGAGGGCGCGGCAAGTTTTGCGGAAACTTTGGCAATGTTGTTTGACGAGGGCGTCACGGAGCTGTTCCGTGCGAGCTGCGAGCGGAACATGGCGCAATCAGAGCCCCGGCCCGCGCAGCCTGAGCAGCCAGCGGGCCGGCGTGGCTTTTTCGCGGCCTGGCTCCGCGCGGCCCCCGCCTCTCCGCCACTAAGAGACGGAAAAGTTAGCCTTGTATCCTTGACTGGTTGACGCGCGGGGCTACACATCAGAGAGGGCTCCGACTTGAATTCGGCCCGAATCCACCCACCCAGCAGCAGGCTCCAGCCGCTGCCTCCTCTCTCCGTCGCCGCGTGGCGGTGCGAGAGAGACAGAGGCAGCATTTGGAATCAGCCCTGCGACTCAATGGCGCAACTTGAGCCGAGTCGGCCCGACTCCGTGAGTGGTGAACTCTGTCTCTTAACATATCAAAGAGGCCTAATGGAGGCTGGACTGCCGTGAGGCCTGTAAGCGCCTTGGTGCCGCGAGGGCCGTGAGGCGGGCTGACCGAACCCTTGCGACCGCCACCCACCGCCACGCCGCCGCCCTGGGCGTCATCCACTTGCAACTTGGCAAACGACTGCCGCCGAACGGCTCGCGAGCCAATTAGAAATTACTTGCCCTTCTTTGCCGGAGCCGCCCCGCCCCTCCATTCCGAACAATTAGCACGTAAGCTCATTGCAATATGCCTCTGGATCGGGCCGCCGCTGCTAGTCCCCGGCGCCCTCAAGCTCACAGGCCGCGCTGCCGGTTACTCACGACCGCGTTCTTTCAAAGGCGCGCCTCGACAAAGCCTGGCAGGGCAGCCGGCCGGGGGAGCAAGGCATCAAACGGCACGATTGGCCACCGCGATGTACAGTGTACACGCGCGCCGAAATGAAAGGGTAGATTCTTGATGAAAATTTGTAGGCAGCGGCACGCTGTGCGTACGTGTGTGTGTGTGTGCGCGTGTGTGTGTGCCCGCATTGTTTAAGAGTGCCTCTTTTTGCGCGCCCGCCTGTCGCGTTCAACCTGTTTCGTTAGGCTGCTCCCACGGCCCCCGGAAAGCCTCCCCCTTTTTTCCGGAGAGATCCACTCCTCTGAGAGGAGAGGGGCGTCAGTGAGTCAAGCGAGGTTCGAGCCGCCAGCACTGCCAGCAGCCTCCTGTCGGTGTTCTTTTTCGCCGAGCCAAGTCGCGCGGCATCGCCGTGACAGTCCCGAACCGAAGGCAGGGAGGCGCGGCAGGCGGCACGGTGGCGGCGGTCCCGGCGACAATGGCCTCCGCTTCCACTTTCCACTTGACTCTTCGTTAAGTTTGGCCCGGCAATACTGGTAAACAACAACGGGCTTAATGCAGATCGAAACAACGCAATGCTCCTCTTCGTTATGCTCGCTATTTGTCACGGCTCCCCTCCCGGGTGGCTACACTGTAGGGCCCGCCGCCCCGCAGTATGAAATGGTCCGGGGCTCAAGCTTCGGGCCTTGGAGCCTTCGGCCTTCGGGGCGACGCGGCGGGGGAGGTGACCTCGCCTCGGTTGTGACGACCACGCCTCGCCTTCCATCAAGCAGCCTCATCTGGCAATCGAGCGACACTCCCACTCCCTTTCCGGTGGCGAAGCAGGCGAAGCGCTTTCAATTGCAAAACCAGCCGAGTTAATGCAGTGCCTTTGTTCGTTTTCGGGGGGGATGTTTTTCGCTGCCGTGTCGCCCGGAGTAAACAAGGCGGCGCCGCACTGCGCAGCACGACGGACGGGAAGGGTGAAAAGTACGGCGACGAAATATGAAAAGAAAGTCCCTAGCTCCGCAGACCGCGCCGGCCGCGCAGGGGGACACGTGGGACGCTGCAAAGCTCAAAGGAGGTGGGCTGTCTGGAGGGCCCCGTCTTCTTGTTGAGTAATGAGCTGAGCCACGTGCTTGTTGACCTCCCCCCGCCCCCCTCGCGCACCTGCCACCGCGCGGCCGCCCCCTGGTTAGGCATTCATTCGTCTCCGAGATGAGTCATGAGGCAGTCATGAGGCAGTCTGCCTAGTCATGAGACAGACGGCGGTCCTCAGTGGCACCGACTTTGCGGCTCCACGAATTTGGAATGAAGAATGGCCTGGGTCTCCCCCCCCCCCTCCCCCCCCAGTGTGCCCGCGCACAATCGGGCGGCGAGACGCACTCGATGGCGTGTTCGCTCGATGCGGTCGGAAGTGCGTTTGTAGTGGGGCTCGGCCTCCTCGGCCTTGTCAGCGCGGCATTGTCTGCTCTCTGCCCTCGTCGGCCACCTCCGCCTGCCGCCCTGCCGGCCGGGACGCTCGTCATATTTGCCTTCCGCGGCTTTTGTCTGACTCCCCCGACGATCGGGGAGGCAGCCGCGAGTCGATGACTCTCGCCGTCGTGCGAGCGACCGTCTCCGCGGCCACACATTTTCGTGTCGTTTGAAGAAAGCGGAACAGCGCGCACGATCCGAGACCCCGCATCATCGGCACCTTTGCCGATCATCGTGGACACCGTGAAACCAAAACCCGGAGCCGGTGTACCCTGACCTCGCCTTCCGCGACCCGCAAGAAAAGCGCGGTCCGTGGGGCAAAACTACGCGCGGCTTCTCATCGCCCCGGGAATGCCATTCAAATCCCGTTTGCGGATCATTTCGGAGGATTCCCCGCATTCCGGCCGGGCGGGGGGGCCTCTGCCTCTGCTCTGCAGCGCCCGAGGCCCGCCCGCCGTTATTCCAGGGCGAGGCCCGACGAGGGAAATGTTTCTATTGTGCGGCTGATGATTGCATTTCTGATTCCAGGTGATGGTCCGGTGGAGTCAGTAACTGGTAAGAAAGGCCTTCTTCTTCGTTTCTTCCTGCTACAATTAGTCGGCGATTGTCGAGTCGGGATTAGCCGATTGTCGGGCAAACTGCAGACGTTCGGCGCTAACGAACCTTCCGCGATTCGAGTTAAAGCGCGGTTGGCCAGACTGGCAGCGCAGAGCGGCGCAGAGTGGGAGTGGATCATCCCTGTATTAAAGATCAGCCCCGTCCCTCATCAATGATTCGCCGTCGTGATGATCACCCCGGAGGCCCCCTTTGTGTAACGACTCGTTCCAGGGGCTGCCCGTCATGGTTATGGCGAGCAAGTTCCGCCGAGGGCGTAACGCGTAACCGTTTCGGCGGCGGGAACTAGGAGCAGCCCCTCGCGTCGCTAGCGTCGCTCCCAGGAGGCGCTGACGTGCTCTCCGCTCCAGTGATCCGCGCCGCTCCGCCGCTCCCAGTCGGCCGCTTCTATTTGTCGAGCTTTCAGGCCGAAAAGCATCTGTTCCGAAAGGCCGTCCTGGGGAAGAGTCTGTCCGACCTGGCGATGGCCCCGCGTGGCCCCGCGCGGCCGCGCGGTCCGTGAAAGGAACATTATCAAGGCCTTCAGCGGCGCAGCGGCGCGCGCCTTCAGAACAGCGAGCGTAAAAAAAATTCTTGGGCCTTGTGTCGTCTTTTGTGTACGGCCCACAAAAACATTTCAAATTTCCCCGAGTACAGTGTTTTGTAAACGGGCCTGAAAGCCAGGGCCGTCCTGGATACGCGTGGCGTGGAGGCCCCCCATCCCATCAATACGCCGGTGATGAACACCGAGGGGGCGGCATAGAACGGGCTCGTGATTAAATTGGTGCCCGCTTCGGGCCCGGCGAGCACACGAGTGCTCGCACTCCAGGACGGTTTCGTACTTTGCAGCCTCGTGCCGGAGCGTGCGTGTGTTGGTGCGGGGCGTGTATCATGCGCGGTGGACCGGACCGGCCGGCCGGCGGGGGCTCCGAGAGTCGGGTAGCGAGGCCCGTCGGCCTGGGGCTGGGCCTAGGGGATCAGTTTGAGGGCCGCGGGGCTGGCGAGGGCCCCAGCCAGGCCCCAGGGCCCGGGGCCCCGCCGGCCAGTGATCCTTCAGCACATCCACCCCTCAAACAGACGTCAGCGCGGCGGGCGGCGCGGCGGGCGGCGCGGGGCTCGGCCTTGTAACTGAATCCGGTATCCGCCCCGTCCATTCTGACCCTCCGCGCCGCGCCGCCCCGCTCCGCCCACCGCCTGCCTGTCCCCGGTCTGGTCCGCGTCGCTCCGCCGGCCAAATCGCGTTTCCCCGGGATTCCATCATCTCCCTCGATGTGGCGGCGTGGCGCGAGCGCCCGGGGCGCCCCGGCGAGGCCCACTAGGCGAGGCCTGGCGGCTTGGCGAGGCGCTCTGCGGTGGAAACGACGACGCCGTCCTCGGCCGCCGCGTCGCCGCGCTCAGGGTGATGACCGGAGACACTCCGATGCAAAAGTCCGCGCGCCGTCTCCCCGTCTCCCCCTCGCATCCCAGAGGAGCATCAACGGCCGGAGATGCTATCCTTTTTGCCGGGCCCACTGTTTTTCTGCGATCCTTTTTCGCGCGGCCCGCGGAGGCCCGCGGGGGAGGGGGTTGTTTTTAGTTGGAGGCACATGTCGCAGCGCCGGACCGGGGGCGGGGCGGGGCGGGGCGGGGCGCACACATGGGGCAGGGCTTAGCGGTAATCCGGCCGCCTACCTCGGACCACCAACTCCCCCTCCCCCTCCCCCGCCGCCAAGTCGGCTGGTCGATGAATCCCCACGTTATTGGGCATCCGCGGGGATCCCCTTGCTTTATTTTTTGTCATCCCCCATCCGCCTAATGCCCCAGACGGCCACTTCATACGTGACGCGACCCTGGTCCGACCCCGGTCCGACCCCGGCCGGGGGGCCAAGTCGGCCGAGTCCTCCAGGGCCTTGCCGGCCTTGCCGGCCTCGCTGAGACGCTCCTCTGGCCGGGTGGTCCTTCACGGGGAGATGATTTGTGGAGCGTCGTTTCGCCGTCGTCGTCCTGGGTCACCCGCCGGCCGGCCGTAGCCTCGGGGGATTATTTTGTAATCCTGGCCGGCGGCGTCTGGAAGAGGGCTGGCTGGGCTGGCCAGGCCAGGCTGGGCCCTGGGGCATTACGAGGAGCAAGTTTCCGCGTCCGTGTCCTGGAGGACATTAAGCAGGCCGCCTCCTCGTTAGTCCCGGCGCCTCGGGGATGGCGGCGCAAACGGCGTGATGGTGGAACGGCGGAACCACCTGCCGCGGTCGCCAACCGTGTGCAGTGTAGCGGACGCTGAGCACGGCGCACTCCACACGCACTCGGCCGCGCACTGGTGTGTGATTCAGGGGAGCGGTGCGGCGCTCTCTCTGTCTCTCTCGCACGCACAGGGAGCGCGACACGAGTGCGACAGAGACAGAGCGACGAATGGCTCGGCTGCTTGACGGCCACGAGGACCGCGGCCAACAAAGGCCTCGGTAATTTCCCTGTGCGACTCGCGGCCGCAGAGAGCGAGCGGGAAATTTCCCTCCGTGAAGTGTCCTTTTCCTCCGACCCACATACGCGCTCCTATTGGAGGGCGGTGAATTATGGCCGGGATGGCTTGTCCTGCCGCGCCGCCCCTTGCAGCAAGTTTTTCATTTCTTGTGAGCATAGCGACGATAGCAGTCAGGGCCCGCAATACCCTGCGGGGCTGGGGCTGCACTGGTGTGAAATACGGCGGCCGACCCGCCGATCAGTGTAGGCGCGAACCGCAATCAGGCAGTGGCGTGACACGTGTGACTCGTGCACCGCAGCGCGTGCGGCCAGCAAGGGCCGCCATCTGGCCGCTACGGCCTCCTCGAAGGCGACGGCCTCCTCGAAGGCGACGGCCTTCTCGAAGGCGACGGCCTTCTCGAAGGCGACGGCCTCCTCGAAGGCGACGGCCTCCTCGAAGGCGACGGCCTTCTCGAAGGCGACGGCCTTCTCGAAGGCGACGGCCTCGTGGAGGCGGCCAAGGCCCCACGACGTCGCCGCCTCGCCCCTCGACTCCATCTGCAATCCAAAGTTTACTGCACTCTTGCGGCTTAGCAGTGGGGCGCCTAAACCTCGCCCCGCCCGGTGCACCTCGCGGGGCCCGGCTTCGGCTCGCTCCTCGCTCTTAAACCCCCCGCACGGCGAGCCGCGCTTGTAAACGTCCACAGCTCTCGCCCTAATCCGCGCCGTGTCGCCTCTCTCTTTGTCTCTCTCTCCGTCTTCGCTCGTCCCGATTCCGGGAGACCAGTGTCGTGACCTCGTGACCGACGCGTGACTGTGCGCCTGGCGTTGAGCGAGGACTTCGCGGGATTTCGCCTGGCGCTGCCGACAGCCCTCCCTCTGCCGCCAGTTGCAACCGCTAATGGGTCGCTGAATTTTCATCTCAGTGCTCTGACCTCCGCACGGCGAGCCGCGCTTGTAAACGTCCACAGCTCTCGCCCTAATCCGCGCCGTGTCGCCTCTCTCTTTGTCTCTCTCTCCGTCTCTGTCGCTCGTCCCGATTCCGGGGAGCACCAGTGTCGTGACTCGTCGTGACCCGCCGCGTGACTTAGTGCGCTCTGTGCAGTTTGAAGCGAGGACTTTCGCGGGATTTCGCCGTGGGCGCTGCCGACAGTCCCTCCCCTCTGCCGCCAAGTTGCAAACCGCTAAATGGGTCGCTGAATTTTTCATCTCAGTGCTCCCCGCATGGCAGCGCGCCGCGACGCGCGATACCCTCCGCGTTGACGAGTTTGTCATACAAGTTGGCGCTTCTTGAGCTTGTCGATGTAGATCCGCCATCCGCCGCCGCGCCAGACGCGCCAGACGCGACCAAGTTTCCCGGCCGAGTGCAGCGCAGCACTCCTGCTATTGTTTCGGCTGGTGGCGTACGCGCTACGCGCCACGCGGCCCCACACTGACAACACCGCCATCGGTCCCGGCAGCCGTCGGCAGCAAGAACTTGGCCTCGCGCGGGGCGGCCGGGCCGGCTTTCGAGCCACCGGGACGCACTATTTGTCCGCTAACGGGTTCCAGCTGCTGTGAGTGATGGCGCTCCCTGCCGAATCGCCGCCGATTCCTTTTTTTCGGTCCCTCCCCCTTCGGGCCGTCCTGGCCCTCCGGGGCGCGACAACTTCCTTCCCTCTCGCACTGCAGTCGGAGTGCGGCTCGTTAATTAGAGCGGGTAGCCTGTCGTGCCGCACTCGCTGCGAGGAGAGCGAACCGCCGACGTGGTCCTGGATGCCTCGTTCGTCTAGGCCCTGCCGCCCCTAATGGGGCTCATCTCGGGGCCGCCATGATTGGCCGGGCCCTGCAGGGGGTGCAGGCAAGCGCTTGACTCCGCGGGGCTTCGCCGCCAGGCTTCGGATGCCCCAGTCACCAGTACACTGGCGGCGCTGGCGGGGAACGCCCGGGAGGTAGGCCGCGTGCACGCTCGGCTGCGCGCGGGTTGCCTACCGCCACGGCGCGCTCCGCGCAGCATTACCATTACCATTAAGGGCTAGACCACAATTGATCGTATGCCATTTCGGGCCCGACACATGCCCGCCTGCACTGCAAAACGAGACATGGCCGTCCTTACTAAGGTGACACTTTTTCCCGGCGGAGAAGAACCTCAAGCGGCTACGACTCCCACTCGCAGTATGGCCAGTCAGGGTGAAGGAGTACATCCCCCCCGAGGGGGGTATGCAGGCCTCCACCCCGGAACAGCGCCTACGAGCACAACCGGTTCCGGTGCCCCCCTGCTTCGTCCCCTTATCTCGGGGAACAACGGCGTCCTCTTGGTCCAAATATTGATGTATTGAGAAAGGTGTTCTTCGCCCTGCCCCTCTCTTCATGCGACCTGTGTCCTGGCGGGAGCATCCTGCGACCTTGCCGACCGAATAGAAAGCTTCATCCAACCAAACACCCGACCGACTACACCAAATCGCCGTGCTGTGCATGTTGGTCAAGGATCTGCGATCTGGCGGCAAAAGAGACATCCCACTGCTGGCTACCTGTAGAGAGGACCTCCT